TGAAAACCTGGTGAGGGGATGGTATGCGCCAGTTGAGAACACGGCGAGAACGGTAAGCAAGAATTCTGAAACACGGTAAGTCCGGTACAAGGCCGATGAGAAGCCGGTACAGACCCGGAATAGAACGGTATAGTCCATGGCGAACGGTGAGCGGTGAGCCTACACGGCTAGTGTGACCGCTACTTAAATTGCTAATTTTTATGAGATTTCTTTTTTGCTTTCATTTGTTTACATTTTTCTCATCTTACTTATGAAGAGCTATATTGACCTACATTCAATCACTAGTTTTTTCGGTCAATTTCGGCATGATTATAACCAATGATGATCGGTTTATGTTATATTTATTTAGTTTATACATTTATCTAGTTAAATGTATTAATGTTACATTAGATAGCACAGATTGTGAGTTCTAAATGAAGCCAGTTATTTTGCACTTTTCATATCCTGATTGCATCATAGTAATTGTACACCAGTCTTGTCCTGTCCAGGAGGTATATCCAGAATTATGGCAATGTCTATACTTTCTATACATTGTCTATACTTTCTATACTTTCGATCTCCTTTTTCATACTATCTGCCTTCGACGTTTCTGTACTTTCTATACTTTCGAACTGCTTTTTCATACTAACTGCCTTTGACAAAGCAGATGTCTATAGTTTCTATAGTTTCTATACTTTCGATCTGCTTTTTCCTATAACTGTCTTAGACAAATCAGATGTCTATAGTTTCTATACTTTCGAAATGCCCTTTCATACTAACTGCCTTTGACAAAGCAGATGTCTATAGTTTCTATAGTATCTATACTTTCGATCTGCTTTTTCCTATAACTGTCTTAGACAAATCAGATGTCTATAGTTTCTATACTTTCCATACTTTCTATCTGCTATTTCCCATAACTGTCTTCGACATATCAGATGTCTATACTTTCTATACTTTCTATACTTCCGATCTGCTTTTTCCCATAACTGTCTTAGACAAATCAGATGTCTATAGTTTCTATACTTTCTATCTGCTATTTCCCAGAACTGTCTTCGACAAATCAGATGTCTACAGTTTCTATACTTTCTATACGTTCTATCTGCTTTTCACAAAACTGTCTTTGACAAATTAGATGTCTATAGTTTCTATACTTTCTATCTGCTATTTCCCAGAACTGTATTCGACATATCAGATGCATTCGATCTGCTTTTTCCCAGAAATGTCTTAGACAAGTCAAATGTCTATAGTTTCTATACTTTCTATACTTTCGATCTGCTTTTCCCAATAACTGTCTTCGACAAATCAGATGTCTATAGTTTCTATACTTTCTATACTTTCGATCTGCTTTTCCCCATAACTGTCTTCGACAAATCAAATGTCTATAGTTTCTATACTTTCGATCTGCTTTTCCCCATAACTGTCTTCGACAAATCAGATGTCTATAGTTTCTATACTTTCTATCTGCTTTTCCCCATAACTGTCTGTTTTTTACAATACATTGAGGCAATTCACCAAAATCGAAAGTGACCAAGAAACTTATGACGTCACATATTTTTTTACAACTGAATGTATGGAAAGTATCGAAAGTATAGAAAGTATAGACATAGGGATTTCACCAAAATGTAAAGTATAGAAAGTATCGAAAGTATCGAAAGTATAGACATAGGGATTTCACCAAAATGTAAAGTATAGAAAGTATAGACAGTATAGAAAGTATAGACATGTATAGACTTTAGAGAGTCCAATCGTCTAAGACTGAAAAAAGTATCATTTAAAAAAAAGCAGTTCGAAAGTATAGAAAGTATAGAATATGCCATAATTTTGGATATACATGCCTGTCCAGGGGCCTAGGTATTGCATCAGCCCATGTGCTAATCATGAGTGAATACAGCAGTGTACACCTGTCTGGGGTATAAATAGAGACGACCAGGTGACTCAGCAGGCACTTTCTTGCTGGAACTGAGAGAGGACAGACCTGTGTGCCTCCAGGGATTGACACTTGATGGACTTAAGCTGATTCTACACATATATTGATGGACTTAGAAGATTTTCATCTCACATATTGAGGGACTTAGAGGATTTTACCCTGGTATACTTAGAGGATCTTAGGCAGATTCTACATATACTGAGAGGCACGTACACAACTTTTGATGAGAAGGAACCTCCACGCACCTCAAGAGATTGATGCCTAAGGGACTTAGACAAATTCTGCATACTATTTGATGGACTTAGGCTGATTCTACACATATATTGATGGACTTAGAAGATTTTCATCTCACATATTGATGGACTTACAGGATTTTACACTGGTATACTTAGAGGATCTTAGGCAGATTCGACATACCCGTTGAGGGACTTTGAGGATATACTTAGAGGATCTTAGGCAGATTCGACATACCCGTTGAGGGACTTTGAGGATATACTTAGAGGATCTTAGGCAGATTCGACATACCCATTGAGGGACTAAGAGGATTTTACCCTGGTATACTTAGAGGATCTTAGGCAGATTCTACATATACTGAGAGGCACGTACACAACTTTTGATGAGAAGGAACCTCCACGCGCCTCAAAAGATTGATGCCTAAGGGACTTAGACAAATTCTGCATACTGTTTGATGGACTTAGGCTGATTCTACACATATATTGATAGACTTAGAAGATTTTCATCTCACATATTGAGGGACTTAGAGGATTTTACACTGGTATACTTAGAGGATCTTAGGCAGATTCTACATATACTGAGAGGCACGTACACAACTTTTGATGAGAAGGAACCTCCACGCGCCTCAAGAGATTGATGCCTGAGGGACTTAGACAAATTCTGCATACCATTTGGTGGACTTAGGAGAATTCTTCGGTCGATGCACTTGAGGGACTTAGCCAATATTCACCATAGTTGCCTGGAGTTTGATGCCCAGAGGAACCTGAGGAATATTCACGCATATATTGAGGGACTTAGCCAATATTCACCATAGTTGCCTGGAGTTTGATGCCCAGAGGAACTTAAGGAATATTCACGCATATATTGAGGGACTTAGCCAATATTCACCATAGTTGCCTGGAGTTTGATGCCCAGAGGAACTTAAGGAATATTCACGCATATATTGAGGGACTTGGCCAATATTGATAATTGACAGGTTGACCAGTTGCACGCTCCTTATTTAAGTTTGGAAGGCTTTTTTCCAATTTGTCAGAATTTGATAAACTTTTGTGAGGGAAGAAAAATCAAAACCTGAGGAGCCTGAATTAAAATCCCGATCATCATGATGATCAAATGTCAATAGTAACTTAAATTTCCACTGGTTTTGATATAAAATGTATAAAATTCAAACAGTGCTATTTAAAATCTAACTGTAGTATTGTATTGTAGTCAGTTGTAAGTAGATAGATTACCGTCTTAAGGTTAACCTTGTGGTTGTTACATTTTCAAAGTAATTGTTTTGTGCCAGTTACAAGATATGTTGGTCTCATGAAGTCCATTAGCATTTTACTGTTATTGTTAAAATCGTGTCAACTTAAAATCGTCACGCACGTAGAATTCAAGCAAACATTTTCTTGAATAAAATAATGAATACACATAACAATATATCGCTATGTCATTCTTCAAACTAAATAATTTGAGGAAAGCTATTAATGTTAATTGTAACGTATCCTGCTGGGGAAATGGAATGACCATGAAGCAAGATACTGTACGTTATAGAATAATTTACTTCTGTGGTTGAAATAAGTCCTAAACCATTGTATTAATCGGATATCCATATTTTGCCAGTTTAAATATATAATACGTATGATGTTTGACAAGGTATAACATGTATTATACATTAAGAAATCGACTGCTGTTACTTTATCACTAAGATGTACACTTATTATTGAGTTTAACATATTTCGTGTCAACACAATCAATTCATCACGCACGTTAGTTTTTAGTAAAAACCTTGCTTAATGCCTTATGACACAAAACTTACAAGGGTAAAACGTTTATTTAAAGCTTTAGATTGGTTAAAACATATTTATTCCTAATATATCATGTTATATGAGAAACTCAGGATAGCAGCTGAAAAACGCAGATATTTAAAAACGTCACGCACGTTAGCATATTGAAAATTAGCTGAGAAACCTTAAATGCATAAATTCATGAAATATCGACAAACGATTTTTTCGTCATATGCATTTACACAGTTTGAGAGACTTAAATGTACTTTATCGTCTGTATTACAAACGTAACTGTTGATTTCATCAAAAACGTCACGCACGTTAGATTTTTTACATTTTGTTGTGTTATTTCGTAATTTCCACTTAAACTATCTTTTAAAGGCAATTTTCTGGAACAATGTTCGTTGTTCGTCCCAAAAAATCAAAAATTGATTGAAATATCAACCGTTTTAATTTTTCGGAGAAAGTGACGAACTTTTGAAAAAGACCCATATATAAAGAAGGTGTCATTTGTTATCAGGGGTGGGGGTGCCGTCTGTGGGCCCCTTATTATTCATATTCAGTTTAATATAACTAATTTGTTGGCGTATTTGTGGTGAAATTATATCATCGACTGAACGCATCCATCCTTTTACCAAATTTATGTAAGGACACAACAGCACAACATACCATTTATCAAAATCTACTCTAATGTTCATAATGCACTGATTTGAAATAGTGTCAGTTAAGAATGGGAGACTTGTTGAAGATTTTAAATTTCATTTCTGAAAACGGCCGCGCATCAACATGAATTTACGAAATGCGATGCTAAAAAGATTTGCGGGAATGAAGTATGCATAGAAGTTATCTTTGTCAGCTTTGTTAAAAGTAAGTATTTTACCATTTTACCAATCTTCATAATTTAAACTATTCTATAAAAAGTCGATTGCAGTTTATTAGTCTTTTCATGAAACGTTTTTGTAGGTGCCTTAAAGTGTGACACGAGACAAAACTATGTTGACACAGGATAGAACCTAGGTTGACACAAGATAGAACCTTTTATAAACAATTTAACGAGTATTATAAATCGCGACACGGAAAGAACCGACAATCCAAGATGGCGAACGCGGTCGATCACGGAGACGCTTTGTCTTGTTTTGCAAGGATAGATGCAAATATTGTAAGAGTCCTTACTACAGTGGAAGATAGGGCTAAAGATGACGTTATTGACGAACTCCTGATGGATTTTGAAGCTGATCAACTGGAAAGCTGTAGAGATATATTGTTCGAATCGTGCGAGACGAAATTATTGAATGAATGCATAGAAAAATATGGACCTGATTTAGGTGGGAATAAACCTGTGCTGAAAAAGGTGACACGACGGGACGGGAAATCAAAGCTGAATTTAGTTGGAGACGATATCTACGGTATGTACGTTTACGTATCAGGTCTTTCAACAACGTTCCCAAGAAATGTTGTCACATCCAGAAGCGTTGTCCCAGATGTGACAACGTCACAGAATATATTGGATAGTCAAAAACAAAGGCCAATGGATGCAAAGTTTCTAGACTTGCAATCTAAACTTGAACTCTTACATTCTGAAATGACTGATCTTAAGAAAGAGATGAAGAGCAGGGACGCTAAGATTGAATATTTATGCAAAAAAGTACAGGATTTGGAGACGGATTCAAAATCCAGGGCCGATAAAATTGCATCATGTGAAGCTGAACTGGACAGGCTAAACAAGGTCATTGATTGCTCCTACATAACTATAGACTCTATCGAATCTGAAAATGGAGCCAATTTACAAGTTACAAACAGTCAAAATCAAGGCCTATCCTCGAATCAAGGTGACCGAGAAAAGGGCGCGAAAGTGAGTAGTGGTTAAAACTTGAGCGCCGAATCAGAGACTCCTTCATGTAAGCCTAACCAGGATGTAAACAATAACAACACAAAACAGGCATGGCCGAACGGGAAAACTTCGCTGAGCGAATCCCTTTGGCCCGAAAACGTCACGTGCAGGGAGTGGTCACGCGAGCCTCCAACACGTACACGTCGTAACTACGGATCAACGCCGCGTGGTGGATTTTGGCGCGGAACATCCTATGAGAGGACATACGACAGAATCAGTGATAATGATCAACACCGTGAAGATGTTGACATCGCCGGTTATAGTACCGATGACAGCGTTAACAACGCCGATAACGCCGACAAGGATGATAGGATGTGGCCAGTCTATACGTCAAAAAGATGGTCTGATTGGGACGATTGCTAAAACGACTTCTGCCTGTAGCTTATGCAAGAAACATGCTTGTAAATATGTTTTATATACATTTTATTATGACATTGCTATCCATCACGGGTTATAACGTGAATTGTCTTAGTACAAAAAGACATTATGTACGTGAACTGTGTAATTCATCCGATATTATTTGTATATCAGAACATTGGTTATATCCCAATGAAATTGGAACATTGAGTGAATTACATGAGGATTTCTTTGGTATAGGAGTCAGTAGTACAATCAAATTTTTTATTCTGTCAATCAGTTCATATGGTAAGAATAAGGAAAGAATGTGATGTAACCACGTGTCTACTTACCGGCTTGTTCTATGTCATCCATCGGACTAGGTTACATCGTGGAACGCAGCCGAACAGGACGCTGAAGGCAACAGCATATCTATCTTGATCTTAGCCGAATTTTTGGAAATTTAGATCGTCCATTTTGCAAGCTCACGTGACTGACACGTGACACATGTCTGATCACGTGACTAGTTACTGTATCGATCATGTGACTTAATCACGTGTCAATGACGTGTCACCCAATCATGTCTTCAAGGAAATCGGAAGTAAATATTTTGGAAAATGTTTTCCGAGCATTTGCTACTGATTATAGAAGGCCCAATTACGCAACGAACGAAACTGCTAAATTGTTTTCGTGCCTAACATGCGCAGTACGCAATGAAAGAAACTGCTAAATTGTATTTTTAGAGCTGTTTATTGATCTATTGATTCATAAAGACCTGTAATGATGCATTCAAATAAGACCGCCTCCTAAATGAAAACAGTACACATAAGGTGGTGAAAAAACAACGAACTAAAGTTGAAAGATCGCAACGTTCGCTACTTTGTTCAATTCCGGAAATCTCCAAGGGGCTGCAAATGGGAAATTATTTAGATTTAGATTTTATAACCTCAGAATACTGGCTTCATTGTCGTGTTTGGCTGCGTTCCACGATGTAACCCAGTCCGATGGATGACATAGAACAAGCTAGTAAGTAGACACGTGGTTACATCACATTCTTTCCTTATTCTAACCATATGAACTGATTGACAGAATAAAAAATTTGACTGTAGCGGTTTAGAGCCATTGAATAAGGGTTCTCATATAGGGCATGGCGGGGTTGGGATCCTCTATAGAAAGAATATCAATACAATACCAGTGTATTTCGAATCGGACAGAATAGTAGGACTTAAAGTTAGATGGAATGATTGTTTTATGTTATCCCGTTCCCGGACTATGGTCCTGTACTGAGCCCATACATTTGCCTGTACGATTACAACTTGGGAGAATTTTTTACTGATCTTACACTTCAGATACCTATTTCAATAGATTCCTTGGTAATTTAGCATTCTTTTCGTGTAGTTGAATCCACAATTGTCTGGGTTTATCGGCAGAACGAAGACATTTTCGTTTTTGATCGCAATATTTGCGTGTAACATTTAACTTATTTCAACCGTCAAATTCCTCCATATTGGTACTTCCGGGCTACATCCGGGACAGCCAAACGGGGGATTCCCCTTTTAAATCCAACCGCCATTTTGAAAAGTGATGGAATCTCTCTCGATGAAAAAGAGAAAATATTCCCGTTCTGCCGATATACCCAGACAATCGGCGGTTCCAATATATTAGAAGTTACATCTTGAGTTCTATAATGCATTGAGGTAGGTATCTTAAGTGTAAGGGGCGTAGATAATTCTCCCAAGTTGTAATCGTACAGGCAAATGAATGCGCTCAGTGCAGGACTATAGTCCGGGAACGGGATAAGTTTTATGCATATTCTGTCAGTGTACTTACCTCAACCTACTTGTGTAAGGGACAGTTTTGATGTTGTGTTAGATACACTTGACGAATGCCTGCAACAAGTCAGGGGTATCGGTGAGGTCATCATTGTATGGGACATGAATGCTAATCTTGGGAATTTGGTGACCGACATGGGTCAAGGGAATCACTCAAAAAATGGTAGACTCTTGTATAATTTTATGCTAAGGAATGGGTTGATATGTGCTGATATGTCAGATTGTCGTAATGGACCCAAGTACACGTTTTATAAAGAACCCAACATAAATACCTATATTGATCATATATTAGTTACAGCACCTCTTATAAGATGCTGTGTTACATGTGAACACTGGCATGTAGCGATTATAGCGGTCCTGTCTTGGCTTATTGAATTGTTACGAAGTTACGTATGCGGTGCGGAAGTTAGAGAGCAAATGACCATCATTTCAATGTAATAGTTTATGCAGGAAAATTGAGATTAGGCCATTGGAGTATTTGTTTCATGCATTTGTAAAACATTACCAACTCATAGGTCATACTTATCGTTAAACCAATAACTCAAATATATGCCCTTGTACACCGATCACCTGTTGAAATTAATACAGGCCGATTTCAACAAATGTAAACGGCGATATATTCAAAATCGTATTCAAGCATGACCACGTCCCAACTTCTTTTGTTTTCTTTACAACTAAGCTATGACTGCAGTCTATTCAGTGTTGCGTATCGAACCTTGTTTATTATAAAAATAGTGCAACAACAAGCAGAATTCACACATTCACCTTATACTTATTCTCAATTGAAGACATTGAGTTTATCTCTTAGGTTTTACATTATAAATATCTTAACATGCAGAATACGAAAATAGAGGCTTAGGCCCAACTTTGTATGAATTTTATGAGAATAATCTGATTTTAGAGAAATGAAAAGAAAAATGTCCACACCCTACACAAAATATTTATGGTTCCCCGGGAATACGTATGTGCTGCTTGTATATTAGAATCGTATTCCAGTTACAGAAAGAAGTACATATCATGCTAAACTATATACAACAGTTATGCACTTGGAGGTTTTGGATACAGGGAATATCCCGAGGGATATATAATATATCTTCCCTTGGTCCCTCGGGAAGATATAGAGATTATCCTATATGAGGTTCAGGATATTGGGATTATCCCGAGGCTAATATAATATATTTACCCGAGGGCCGCAGGTCCCGAGGGAAAATATATTATATTGGCCAAGGGATAATTCCAGTATCCTGAACCGACTATAGGATAATATGTTTATCCCATACCAATCTTGGTCATCTGGTTCACATTGTTCAATCGTGGAAATATTTTAGAATATTCATGTCCAGTTTTGTTTTCTTGGCCGTGGGTGGATTTTCCTGTTCTCTCAAATATTCCCACATTTATTTTCTCGAATTTTTGATTGATTACGTGGATGCTCCTTCCCTTTTTTAAACCATCAAACAGATCCCGATTATCTGTGTCTTCTCCTTTGTCGTTTACAGTCATTACGCGAACGTTACAAATTATGAACAAATACATGCGAGCAGAGATTATGACGTAGCGGGCAGATATACTATATCTGCCCGCTCGGAGCGGGACGTAAAGCTATATCTTCCCGCTGATGAAAATATAAGTTTTTACAAACCGGCTTTATGTACCTGTAACACGTCCAAGTATGGGATAAATATTGTATATCCCTCGGGATATTCCCTGTATCCAAAACCTCCAATTGCATAACCCCTATATATTGGCCAAGGGATAATCCCAATATCCTGAACCGACTATAGGATAATATGTTTATCCCATACCAATATTGGTCATCTGGTTCACATTGTTAAATCGTGGAAACATTTTAGAATATTCATGTCCAATTTTGTTTTCTTGGCCGTGGGCGGATTTTCATGTTCTCTCAAATATTCCCATATTTATTTTCTCGAATTTTTTATTGATTAAGTGGATGCTCTTTCCCTTTTTTTTAACTATCAAACAGACCCTGATTGTCTGTGTTTTCTCCATTGCCGTTTACAGTCATTCCGCGAACGTTACAAATTATGAACAAATATGCAAGCGGCGATTATGACGTAGCGGGCAGATATACTATATCTGCCCGCTTGGAGCGGGACGTAAAGCTTTATCCCATGGTTGCAAGGAGGATATAGATCGAATATCACATGATGATATATTTGATATGTGGATCAAGATATCATATTTTAGCAAACAATTTACAAACCATCGAATATCACTTTTAAACTATCGAATATCACATCTTAAATAGAGGATATCCTATGATTTATGGGTGATATGATTTTTATCCACGAATGGATATGATATCTGCACGAGTGAGTGTAGCGAGAGAGTGCAGATATCAACATCCATGAGTGGATTAAAATCATATCACGAGTAAATCATAGGATGTTCTTTATATTCCATAGTTAAAGTCATCATCAGAATCGTCGGGAATTAAGTGATTTAAAACGAATTTTCCAAACGATACGGCGATATTGACACTTAGCCTCGTTTTGAGTCTGAAGTAGCAAAAATCCATAAACCATGGCATACGACGCCGTATTCCATACCTGATGAGGTTTCAGGGACATATCAACCGGCAATATATTCCATATCCGGGCAAATATTTTTCGTATGTCCCGCTCCAACGGAGCTCCGGGACACATAAATCGTATGTCCCGCTCAAAAAAAAATGTTGAAAAAAAAAATTCGGGAAAAAAATTTGAAAATAAAAATTTGAAAAAAAATTGTGTAAAAAGATTTTGAAATAATGTTGATAATTCTGAAAAAAATTATGCAAAAAAT